ATAGACCTTTTTTACAATACGATTTTCCATAGCAACGAATGTTGCATTTCGCGCATGCGCATTCTGCGTAGGGAAAAAAGCAATAACGATGTATACAGTTAATCATACTTTAAATTAAGGCATTTATAGATGCGATTTCATGTTATGTCACCCAAAAAATATTAATTTTGGGATGACTTAAGGCGGTAAGTACTGAAAACGTGAATTTATTTTTTAACAGATCTACGAACATGTGCGGGAGTAATAATTCAATGGTCAAAACGGGCACACACATGTCTTTGTTTAAGGTATCCTTAGACGACTTTTCCATCAGTAATTTAAATTGAAACAGCAGGGTGTTAAAGATAAAATTGTATTACCCCTGTATTACACAATTTCTATTGTACACTTCCTTTGAATAACTGGATTGGTCAGGCGGCAAGTGTCGCGAACGTTTGTTCATTCAGCCGGGACGATATAGTTAATCAGTTACGCTTATTTAAATGGTAATTTATGTAACTTTTAAATATACCGATCAATGTTTATGGATTTTGAGAAGAGAACAATTGTGTGACATGCATTATTAAAAATAACATGTATTACGAAGAAGCGGATAAAATGTGTGTTATATCTTTTCCAAACAACCCATCTTAACTTCTCAAGATTTTGAAAAAAAAAATATCTAAAATCTATTTATATGACTTATATTTTTCTGGTTGCATCACAGACAAATCGGATAAATGATATAATCAGGTATATTGAACACTAAAAATGCATTATCACCTGTTCTGATATTTTTTCTGAATGATAATTAATCTCGATTTCATGTTATATAATTTCTTTTGTTTTTAAATGAACTTTTTCAACAGCAAATAAGTTGACGTTTCATTTGCTAATAGATATATTTCCACATCTTTTAAAAAAAATGATCTCAGTGTCAGGTCCGTGATCGTAAATTCTTAAACAAGTATCTTTTCCATGCCTTTTTATGGCATTCTTCACCACAAAGCTATAAAGTCATCTTTTCTATATTTGTTGAAAGCTATTTTATATACTTTCTACCGTTTACCTTGAACTAACTCGGAATTGTCTATGAACTTCTACTATATTTCTATGTAGGGCGAAGCATTTTTGCCCTACGCAGATTGCGCATGCGCGAGAAAATTCTAACTCTGGTCGATTTTTCATAGCAACGGACCGCGTCGTAAAAGGTATATACGAGTACACAGGTCATTCTATCAGTGCAAAAATAGGTTATAAGAATATTACACCGGCTGTCGGTACAGATGGAATAACTGGCTCGATGATAACTGTTTACGGCGGTAATTAGGCTCTGCCGAGATTTCGCTTAACAGCTTTTATTATTTTGTACTGTATTTTATCGTCTAAATACAAGTGCAAATGAAATTATTGAACTTAAGCAACGGAACTGTGGTATCATTATTATACATTGAACGTAACCGTGTACACAAAAATCACTCAACAGCTTTAGCAAATATTTTTGACATTGATATTTATTGACTTGATGATAAAATATCGACAAATTTTAACCCTCCCCCCATACCCATAAACCTTTTATTTTTCCCGTGCGCCTGTGCCGGCCTCGTCCTGGAATCTTTAGTGTTGCTCCATAAATAATTTAGTTAGGTTATCTATCAATAACACTCTCAAAGTAATTGCGTTATTTCAAATGAACAAAAACTTTTACGTAAAATGATATATAAGTTTAAATCAGTTTATCCTCAACACTAGGATATCAAATTTTGTTGCTGTAAAAAAACGTTAAAAAATGATTACTACCATACTTTCCGTTTTTCCAACATTTTCGGCGTAAAACGATAAATTTCATATCAACTTAAAGAAAAAATTAATTTCCGTCGAATACTAAAGAATTAAAGATATTTTATCTGCCTATGGCGTCGTGATACCCGAAACAGTTGCCAAGGATACACAATGGCGGGGATACGGACAAAAGCCCCCCCCCGGACGAAAGCCCCCCCATCTAAAAATGACAAGGTGGACAAAAGCCCCCCCCCATGAAATTTTCACATAGGACAAAAGCCCCCCCATAAAAAAAGTAAAGGTAGGACAAAAGCCCCCCCCCCATAGTCAATCAAATTTACATATAGTGTATTAAAGTTGTGTTTTTTATGTGTTTAAAAGATATGTATGGACATCACATGTAGGTGACATAGTGCTTAGAATATTAATTTGATCCCTTTACAAAAGTGATTAAACATTACTACTTTTCTGACCCTTGTTGTGTATATGAAAAGCTATGAATTCGGTATTGCATGCATGCATTAATTTATTTTTTATCATAAACTTTGTTATCACTTCAATATATACATAATAAATAAACATTAAAACAAATTCTTTTCATTTTTATTTAAAAGTTTGTGTGAAATTTGATGAATTTGAGCACCTGTGCGTGTGAAAAAAGATGGGGGGGGGGTTTGTCCTACCTGTATTTTTGATGGGGGGGGGGGGGTGGGCTTTTGTCCTATGTGAAAATTTCATGGGGGGCTTTTGTCCACCTTTGTCATTTTAGACGGGGGGGGGGGCTTTCGTCCGGGGGGCTTTTGTCCTACACTCACAATGGCGTGATGTTCAAAAACGGGCTTTGATGGTCAATTTTGACGTCGAATTGGATCATTGGAACTATTGGAATAAAATCAACGGAATCTAAACAGAAATATGGTCAATTTTGTACTTGCCAATTTTCAATACGCTACTCGAAAGTTCGCAAAGTGTCGCGTTCTACCTTAAGTCTTATATAAAGCTCAAATTCGCCATTCCTTTCATTATCTGTTTACATCAATATTGACAAATTGTCGATAAATCAAATGTTGTACAATATCTTCAGTCAATTCCGAATTTTAAAATGTATTTTCGGGACGAACATAGGCGCGATAATCATGGATTTCTTCGTGGAGTCCATAAAATGCAAGGTTGCGCCCCATGTTGTACTATAACGACATCAAGGGCATTACATTCAAATCGACGTTGACTGTACCTTGGCTTAAAACACCATTGATTAAGAATCCGCTTCCATGTTATGTTGGACGGAAATGTACCTTCCCTTACCTATGTATTAATAACACCATAATTATATACCTTATTTTTGTAAAATTGCACATATATTAATTATATATCCAGAAGTCTGCTTATTATAAGCGACTGTTTAGCAAGATACTTGTATACATCAGAAAGTCTACATACTCGTCATCATAATTCATTTGGAAAATGACTGTATGTTTTTAATACAAAATCTATGAGTTTTTTCGAGTTGCATAATAATGCTACTTAAATACTACGTCTTTGTTAACAATCAGTGTAATGTGACATATGCATGTATAGCGTTTATGGAATGTACTATCTATTTAATGTGTGCGCGACTATTGTAGCGATTTTTTTGCTGTCTTGTCCCATAAGACTGTGTGATATCGCTTATTGTTTTTTTCTTCTTTTTCTTTATTATCGAAATATGTCCAATAGAATAGAAAAAAAAACAAAACAACAAAAACAAAAAAACAACAAAAACAAAAAAACAACAAAATATTTTGAAAGCTTTAACTTGCAAGAAAACTATAAAAGAAAAGATTATTATTGACCTTGAATAGTTCCTTCTTATTTTAATATGTAAAAATGATTATATAAAATTACCACTCTTTGCTTTTTAATAGTTAAACATTACCATTAATTCCCTATTATGATTATTGCTTCCATTCTAAATGCAATTACGATAATAATAGAAAAAGAGGTTATTTGTTTAGTTTAGTGAATGATCGGAATATATTTCACCGAGTGAACATCAAAAGGTATATTTCACGAGTGGCGCAGCCACGAGTGAAATATGAACTTTTGGTGTTCACGAGGTGAAATATATTTCGATCTAACATTAAACTAAACACATTTTCTTTTTATTATATGCAAATAAACGTTTAAAAAGACATTTAACCTAGTACTAAATGAAAAGGGCGTCAAATAATAAAACTGTAAAGTCTTCTATTGGCAGAAACATTTTGAGAATAATGAATTTTGAAATGTTGATAAAAGTTTTGTGTGATTATTTTATTTCACTTTATATTTTTCTAGCGAAATACAGAGTTCATTGTTTTAGAATAAGGTACGCTTCCGGCCTTCTTTGTTTATATATGAAAATTTCCGATAGTGCTAGAATGTGAAATATAGCACGCTTCCGGCCTTTATTGTTAATATAAGAGAAATCCCCGATAGTGTTAGAATGTTCCATTTGCTGGCGAATGTTTCCGGCTTACATTGTTTGTCAATGCCACCAATTATGTGTACGTCTTGTCCAGTCTTCATTTATTATCCTACTCCCTCACTTTAGTGACATTATGCTAATTTTCTTTTCACTGTCACGCTGAGATGATTTAGTTGTTTATTTCAAAAGATTGACCATTTAAATGGCATTTGAACACTAATTGATAAACACAATTGTTTAGAATGAAATATTAAAACTGCCTAAATATGAAAAGGTCCTCTCTTATTTTTTTTATAAAATAAATATGACAGAATGTTTATCAGGGATATTTATTGATTTTTATGTTAGGATTACATAGATCATAATCATAAAAATTTTCGAGTTGCATAATAATGCTATCCATTTTATAGTGGTACTTAAATTTCACGTCTTGTTAACAATCCGTGTAATATAATATATGTTATTATTATATTATTAAAGACATTTTCTACAGTTTTATGAAAATTTAATCCTTTCATAGAATTTTCTAAATTTGTTGTATGTAAATATATAGCGTATATGGAGTATACTGTCTATGTAATGCATGCGCGACTGCTGTCGCGATTTTTTCCTGTCTTGTCCCATAAGATTGTGCGATATCGCTTATTGTTTTCTTCTTTAATGCATTTGTATCAAATTATTATTTATTTTAAACACAATTTATCTGTAATGTTTTAATTAACATAATCAAGTACATTGTACTTAAAAAAAATAGAACTTTTTTTATTTAATTATCTTTTTTTTTTTTTTAAGCTCTCACGGTGAATTATTATGTAAATGGAAACAAGATCCGGTTATAATTATTTGTGTGTCATTATAAGGGCTCAGGCGTGTTGATTCAATTTCAGTACCGTGAAAATGAATGGTGTAGTTAGGCTGGCTATCGTTGTCTTCCTTGTAAGGTAATAACTTTCTAATTATTTTATAAGTTTTTTTTTTTTCAATAGTAGTTTGATAATTCTTATTCTAGTTTTTTCAACCTTTTTTATTTATTTTTCATTTATCTATTTACATAACAATAATAATAATAATAATAATAATTAATATTAATTAATTGTTATCATTATTATTATCATTATTATTATTACTTGTATTGAAATAAATGTTTGTTTTGTTGTTCATTTTGTCTTTGCACCTTATATCAGTGGAAGTTGATATGTTTCTATCATTTATATAAATTTCAATTAACAATTTATAAATGTTACAATGTCTTTATTCATACGCATACCTAGACGTATAAATATAGTTTTGAATAATGTTTATATTGTTTTCCCGATATTCATTTTGACCTTTTTTGTGTCATATATTTTACTTTATTTCTATTTTGTTATAGTGCAATGTTATCTTGTTGTGGTTTGGACGGTATCTTGCAATTTCCAATACCGCCCATGAACAGACTCAATCAAACCTTGCTTGCATCATTTTAAATTTTGCCGTTTTGGTTTTATTTCTGTTGTTCTTTTTGCTTTTTCGCATGTTTGTGGTACTTTCAGTGCCTTGTATTTTTTTAGCTGGATGGTTCCAGTATTCCGACTTAAATACTGTATAATGACACTAAGGATATGTTGCCTGCTTTTTAAACTTATTTACTTATTTTTAATATGCAGGCTACCTCTGATCCACTTTTAAAATTTTATTTTATATAGTTCCGTCCGTTGTTTTCTTGTTTAGGGCGCACGTGTTGTCGGAAGTTTTCTTTCCAGTACCGTCAAAGAACAAACTCAAACTGAGAATGTTACATTTTCAATTTTACCATTTTTAAATTTGACCATCATCATCATCATAATTATCATTATAATTATTATTATCATTATTATTATTATTATTATTATTTACAAAAAAAAAATAACTGTATCATAGTAATACAAAGACAGTCAGTCACATAATTAAAAAGACTGAATTTTTTTTAATATGACGGAACTAGAATTATTTTTTTGATGTTGTGTATCATTTAATGTAGTTCTTGAGTGCAAATTATTAGATTATTTACTTACCCCGTTGTTTCCAGAAGTGCAAAATTTCCAGTAGGGGTTCTTTAAGCATGGAAAATTAAATGTCTTTGTAAACTGAAAATATGCTAGTCATAGCGGTACAATATCATAAAATCAATAATCATAGCCAAAGTATTCTTTGTCCTTGACCATAGTTGCCACCACGTCATTGAAAATGAATATGTAAACCATTTGGATAATAATCTATTTACGAACAAATTACATACTAGCTACTTTATAAAAATATTTCAGCCATACTGTAATTGTACTTTAAAAGCCTACATCCTATGTGACACTTCATTTATGAATACGATGATAAGATACCTAGTTTTTATGAGAGAAAATTTTATAATTTAAAAAAACTTAAAATATTTATGGCAATTATGTAGTTATATAATATCATAAAAAGATATCAAAAAATATAAATAAATGAATAAATAATTAAATTAATAAATAAATAAATTGATTAAAATTAATAGATGAATTGATTAAAAAAAATCTCGTTCACCAATTTTAACAAAGATTTATTACATGCTTTTCGGCTGTTTATAGAAATATGTCAGTGAAGATACGCTATCCTACTTTTATCTTGTTCTGCATACTCATTCAGGGATCTGCATACTCAATCTATCCCAGTCTGAAAACAATAAATATAATTGTTCTGATATATATTTATTAAAACCTTAAATATATTCTGTGTTTAAAAGTGTTTAAAATTATTTAACCTATAGCTCTTCAGCGCTTCTTATGTAAAATTCTTCCAAGTATAATTTCCAATAACCGTAAATTATACCATACCCAGACTATGGTATAATTTTCAGTTTTGAAAATCGAAGGAGTAAGTGTTTCTGGGCGGAGCTATAGGTTAAAACAGATACACCATTGGTGCGTTGGCGATTTCTGGGTTTGCGTAAATTATACCATAATCACGTGACCTTTCTTATGCAACCTCACTCGACTTCGTCTTGTGAGGTCAAGGCATAAGAAAGGTCACGTGATTATGGTATAATTTACGCAAACCCAGAAATCGTCAACGCGGCAATGGTATATCTATTATTTAACTGGGCTATATGTATCGTTATACGATATACCTGGAATACGATCATTATCTTCCAGGGGTATACAGAACGAACCAAGATAAAATCTGTTTTTTATAAAAACTTGTAACCACGTGCGTGACAGAGGTGTTCATAATCAAAATGAAAATTAACACAAAAGAAAGAAATGTTAATACATCCGTTTTCTTGTCGGTAGTCATACATTCCATCGTAAAGTTCAAATATAACTAGAAATGAAATAAATACATGTTTATAATAAAATGACTTGCCGGTAAATCTTTGTGCCATATATGACGCAGGATTCCTGATTATATTTGTTCTGTCGGTAGTCCAATGTCTTTAATGAAAAAGTGGAAACATGTTCTTAAGATATTTGCAACTGATTATGTAAATTTACAAAAGGTTTCTTGTCAGTATGAACGTTACAGTACACGCGTTGCACCAGATTTATTTTCTTGTCGGTCCACATATATTTAATTTTCAAAAAAAACACAGATTAAAAGAAAATAAATATGCCTTGCGTGTATTAGACATCATAAATAGCATTTGCACGAGTATATATGTTTATTTGCAAAACATGGGTTCTTGCCGGTCCTTGCTGGTTCTTGACGGTAAATAGGGGGACTCATTTGTATCATAAAATATGTTTACACATGTAACTGAAGGAACGATCGGATTTTCTGGAAAAATACAGGGTGAAATAAAATTTTCGGTAGCAAAACGAGCTCGAACGGCTTGTCAATTCAAACCTACTGTCCATTCACATGCAGATAAATGCATTATTAAGTTAAAGTCACAGAAAAAATACAGGTTGCAATAACTTTTGACTACCAGTACGGGCCCGGACGCAAGTTGTAGCAACTTCTGACATTGACGTCCAAAAACATTCTGAAATGGAAAATAAAGGCAAATAAATTATTTTATTAGAGTCGTAACTGTACGATTATTTCATAAAGTTTTAACAAGTTCCATAAAATACTTATAAATTCAACCGTTTTCACGGTGAATACCACTGCGGTCCACGGAGATTGACCACCGCGTTCCCCCGCAATTAACCACTGTGTTCCGCGGGGGAATCGCTTGCGGCTGTAGATTTATGTCCGCGGTGGTGAAAAATTTCTGTCAATATTTGAGCAAATTTTCGTCCGCGATGAGTCTCATCCGCGGGGACACGCGGGTTTTGCAAAATCCGCGCTGAGCGTACAATTTGATGTTTTTCACTGTTTTGAATTTAAGCCCGTTGTTCAAGGGAAATACCAGCGTGCACAGTAGGGGAAACCAACTTAATGACGTGACGTCTTAAATGACGTAACAATATTTATTTCTTTTTGGCGCGAGTAAGCTTTTAGTTAAAATGTCTTTTAAAATGTTTCTATGCAAATAATGATAAGAAAAATTGTTTAGTTTAGTTTAGTGTATATTTCACTAGTGGCCGCGCCACTTTTGGTGCTCACTCGTTGAAATAAATAGAGGATATTTTTTTAGTTCAGTCTAAGATCGGAATTTATTTAATTTTTCTAGATGGTTTTCAGAACAAAAGTCAACAAAAAGTTTTTTTATTATACGGTATATCATATTTTTCAAACATTAAAACAAAATGACGAAAGATGTCCCTTGAAATAAATATGAGTTTTGACTCCGCCCACTTTCATATTTATATTTCATATTTATTTAATAAAAAAACACAAAAAACGTAATATTTATTGTTTTACAAAATTTAATATGAAATATATTTGACTGATATAGCACCATATGTAATGGGTAAAATTAAATAAATTCCGATCTATGGCAGAAATAAACAAATATCCTCTATATATTTTCTATAGGAGTATAGGAGTTTGTGCAAGTAAAAATTGGTAAATTTCTAAAAAGTGTTGACTGTTATATCTGCAGTTATTTTTGTTTTCAAACTTTGTGCAGTGAAGATAATTCTCATTTCTATCGCATTTCAAAAGCAAAGGCAAAATATAACGTATAATGTTAAGTCAAACAATGTTTTATATTTGTATTTATGGCTATCATTAGATTCTTACTGGTAAAAACATTAAATTTAGTTGCGTGTCATGCCATATTAAGCAGTATGTTTTTATATATTTTTTATATCATTTAGATATTAAATTTTAACTTTTAACCTTCCTTTAGATAAATTCATGAATATTTGTATCAGTTTCAACAATTTTCAACTGCCATGTCATGTTCAAGTGATGTGGTTTTAATAACAAGGAAGTCTTCCTCGTGTAAAATAAGTGTTTGGTCGGTCCGCTCAATTTTATATACATCAGTATACGTTTTTCATCCGTGAAATATTGTGTTAAAATGTACTTAGAACATCATCAACCTTTCTTTTACAAAATTTTTGTTCTGCTCACTTTTCAAAGTAATGACTTTCAATGTAAATGCTTCGGAAGTAATTTATTGTTTATGCTTTAAAAACACCAACATTCTTGTTTATGATCTTAATTCAAAAACACATATTAACTTGGGTGAACATAAAACGTGCTTTTAACCTATTCATTGTGAATCATTTTTTGTTTTGTTTTTTGTTTCTTTCGGTTGTTTTCCTTTTATTTTCTGTATAATAGTTTGTATGTAACTTTGACCCGTATTCAGAATCAATACCTTCACTCACATTCGATGAGAAAAATTCATTTAACGGTCAAGACAGTCCTCAACTCGTCAGTAAAGTAGGATTCAGATTATGTAAACTAAGGTAAGATGAAAATTTGTGAGATTAGGAGGGGGCTACCTTGAGTTGTCCTCAATGGAATAATAATGAATACCTGTACCACATATGTTTGAGTATTGATTTCCAATATAAATTTAAGTCATATACGAGAACTGACAGTATTTGAG